CCTGCCCACTGTACAGCTTCCTGTTCTGGGGTTCCCCTGTCCACTGTACAGCTTCCTGGTGCTGGGGCTCTCCCTGCCCACTGTACAGCTTCCTGGTTCTGGGGCTCTGGGTCAGGGCTTGTAGTACGACATTCATCTGTACTTTAATCCTTGTTTTTGTGCTTTACTTGTAGGACTGGGAGTGAAACCTTTAATGTTTATCACAACTTTTTAGCTTTGCCATTCAATGTAAGATAGAGCCTTTGTTGTTTTCTCAGATGTCAGGCTCTGATGATACACTTTACTGATATACTAGGAAATTAAATTAAAAAAATTAAAAAGAAAAATGGAAATGTTTGTATGAAGAGTCTTAGGAAAATCACAATTACACGTTTATTCCATGGTTTTGTTACAAAGCTCAGTCTGTGTAAAGGAGACTTCAAAAATAGACATATCTGCAGGTGGGTTGGTGTTTACACAACATTTTTTTATTTTAATAGGATTATAGCAGCGTAGCTGTGTGAAAAAAAAAGTTGAGTGTGAAAAACCTGTGATTGGATCAAAATGTAAAACTTTCACGAAGTGTTTTTCTGATCTGCACTAATGCATTAAAATACCAAGAAAAATACAAAGGGTGTACAATACTGTAACAGATTGTGCTTCATGTGCTTGAATTTATCTCACATTATGCAAATTCCAATATTACTACTACTCCTATAACACACACATACAGACTCATAGAATCAACATCCATGTACTGTACTGTACATGCAAGCATATAAGTACACACATCATATGTACTTCTAAGGATTTCCTGTTAACTGTAATATAATTTTATATTCTGTTCTGTCCTGTACTGAAATAAAACTCTCATATTCCTTATAAAACATTCTTATTCATGTTGGGACCTTTACTATTTAGTATTTACATGCTGCTTATTGGTCATATTATTGAGCATCATGGATCTGGTTTGTCTGTCATGCTGGTGATGCTTGTATTTGCTTGCAGACCTAATCAGATCCCAGTCCTGTGGTTTCAGTGTTTTACAGTTGTCTGTCTGAGATATAATGATATACTGTAAGTACAGATATTAAGATATAAATGCAGGAAATCTTTCCTAACTCTACAACTGTGGACATTTTAAAAGTCATATCTTTTCACTAGAGCTTGATCCATATAACAGTTTTTAGAGTTTAAGAGTTTTACTCTCATTAAAACCATTTTTATTTAGTCAGTTTGTTACAGACCTGTTTAGTTTAACATACTGTACAATAGGACAAGGCGTCTACAGTAATACAAATATCTGAAGTAGTAATTTCTGAAAAAGGTTATTTGTTAAGAGTTTTGAAGCATTCAGCAGGTATTTGTTTGAGATAAAGCTATGGTGCACTGTAATACAATAAAAATGCATTTTTGAATTTGAATGCAATTTATGCTCTGAAAAAGACTGGATGCCAAAAATCATACTATTTTCCAGGAAGCTGACACATTTTTATTGTAGACATGTTTTAAAGACTGATTTCTTTGCTTGGAAAAGAAGCATAGGTAGGTTATAGTTAAGATAAATAATGTACATGTTAAGTGCTTTGGGATCCTTTTGTGCAATTATTAGCTGTACTCTCTTGTTTTCACTCCCAGTAAGCAGTGGGCATCGCGGAGGTGTAAGATTTCTGATGATGTCACTTTGGTATTTGCTTCAAATGTACAGAAGCATGAATGCAGCTGGTAAGGTGAACTGCTGCTTTTAACTTAAGTCAGCAAAGCTGAAAATGTGCCACAGCGAGTTGCTTCACCACAATCTTGTTCACCACACTGTCAACCATGTTTAAATTGTTCTTGGAAAACGTTAAACGACTTTTAAAAAGGCAACCTCCCAACCTGTGAATGTTTTATTTTCAATTAAGAGAACCATTGCGGAAATTGTGCTCTTAAAACCCTTTCAGCCTTAACAACGGGGCTCTTCACTCTAAATATGTGCTTGTCTGTGGAAATTGCCTCTTCTGATGGTGTAGAGGGTTTTGAAGTGAAAGGGCCCAAGCTAAATTGTGCTGTGCTAACTATATAGGCTCCTGATCTCTTGCCCAAACCTTGGATATCTTTGCCTCGCATACTTTGGTCAGCTAAACCTGCTCATCTGTCCCCTGAGTTGTATGTTTATACATTTGTACCATACAAGATTTCAAATACTTTTTAGCAAAAGGTACATGGTCTGTGTTTATTGTTTTTAAAATCATAGTGGCATTAATTGGATTATAGATTTATTTAAACATGCTTTGTGTCGTCATATACAGTTTGTGAATGTGTTTACACATTCTTAATACATTATGTAACAAAAACATGCATTTTTATTTAGATTTCAAGCTCAGTCCCATAATACTGTGCCTTTTAAAAGCTGTCCAACTGTGGATTTGAATGGCGTAGGCATGCAAGGCTTTGTAAAGCTCAAACGTCTGTTAGACTAAGGCAGTAGCGTCTCAATATCCATTTACAGAGGGCAGATCAGGTGCAGTTTTAAGGCACACACCCACAGATCAAACTGATGCATACATCTTAGCATACAAAATAGCTGCTCTGTTACATCATGTTATGGATGAAGTGGGTCCTGAAAAGTGCAACACGGATGAATGTAATGAATTATTATTATCCATTACCCACTGTGAGCTCTGTCTGTTTCTGGTTTTGTGTGCAGGGGAACGGCCATTCCCCTGCCCTCAGTGCGACAAGGCCTTTAATCAGAAGAGCGCCTTGCAGGTGCACAGGGTCAAGCACACCGGCGAGAAGCCATACAAGTGTGAGGTGTGCAGCATCGGCTTCACGCAGAAGAGCAACATGAAGCTTCACATGAAGAGGTCTCACAGCTACACTGGTGAGTACAGGCACTGGGCTGGCCAGCACAATGAAATTGGAAATTGCAAGCAGTGGACTTGATGCACTTCCTGTCACGTAGCAAAGTTATTGGATTAATGAAAATCTAAAAATAATGTGTATATACGTCATGCACATATGAAGCAGTAATGGCCGGAGAGTTACTTTTAAAAAGCAAAGCCTTGCAGTTGCAAGCTGTACTTGTGTAAGGGATAGTCTTTTTTAAAAGTGAGAAGTTAGAGTGCTGTGTTATAAAATATTAGAATTTTCAGGTGGCATAGTTGAATACTACTGTTCCATTTGACAAAGCAAATACAGTAAGAGATAAGAGAAATTCTTCTTTATATAGTTATATATATATTTATATAGTTATATAAAGAAACAAGGTCTTGTTGTGTTATGGAAGTCTATGTGTTATTTCTGGAGATACTCACATTTTTACAGTAACTCGGAAGTTGGAATTAGCATTTTTTCCTTTCTTGGTTTATCCTGTAGTGTAGGTATAGACTGCCCTGATTTTGTTCAACCATTGAGCCTTTCAGTGTTCAAAGATAATACTAGTACTGTTGTCTAATTATGCAGCAGGGGAGTGCAGTGGATTGAATTAGGCCTGCCTAGTAGATTTAGTTGGCTACTCAGCAGCTAAAGTATGTTTTCTTAGTGGCCCCACAGTTCATCATGTACAACAGAGATATGAGAATTGAGCCAAGTGACCATTACTGAGGCATTTAGTGTTTCTGAAGATCTACACAAAGTGGTTCACTGAGGGAAAGTGTGTTTTTATATCAGGATCAGGATTTGGCTCTGTGGAATTGAAGAAACTAAAATGTCTAAAAGAAATTAAATGTCACACAGGCACATGGGCTGACATTGATAGGCAATCTGTTGAGGATCAGATTTTGTCACAGAGAAAATGTTTCTTTGTGACACTGTCACATTAATGTAAAGAAGCACTCACAAAAATAACAAGAGTCCTTGAATCCCTGTGTAAACAGCACAGCTGGTGAGGTGTAGCAATGCTTGTTTGATTGTGTTTAACCTGTCAGTCATACCTTAGGTCTTTGCTTCTAGACTCTCAAAATACTACGTCTGACAGACATAGAGCTGTGTTTTAGAACTCCTGAGCAGTGTACTTCTGTGTTAGACTGCAAAGGCTCAAATACCCTTGACCCTGCTTAAGGCCATGTTATAATCTTGTGATAGGTTTGTTTCCAAGAATCAAAATAAATGTCCTAAGATGGACACATTCTGGTAGATGAAAAGGTATAATCAGCAAATTAGCAAGAATAGACTGATGAGGAGAGCCGAAAACTAAAGTTTGTGGAAGACTTTCAGATAGACATCATGTATGTAAGTATTCTGGGAGCCATGTCAGCAGCTACAGTGAATTTGATTAATATTACAGGCTGTGCTGCAGCTATGCTTGTCTCAGCATTCTACTAGATTAACAGAGATGGAAAGAACTGAAAAACACCCATGTTATTGGAGGTTCTTGATACATTCTCTAATTAATCGAACTTTCAGGAGAGTTTTCAAGTGCTTGAGCTTGTCTGAAGAGCTGTCATGTCAGGCCATTTATATTTAAAATGTGATAGTGGAAGAGAAAAATATGGTATTAAATCATGCTTAAACTGTGGTACACCAGTAGGAATGCGTAAAAGTGAAAGAGCAGCAGTCCCTCAGAAAATAGGCACTGTATGTTAGTGTTTCACATTTATTCACACCTCTAATTATTTCTTTAAACGTAATTAATCAAGCAGATCTACAATAACATTCTGCTCTTTTGAAGTGCCTTGGAATCCCCTGCAACAGTATTGAGTCTCTAAAGGTTTCCCGTTTCCCTGGAAATCAGTAGTGGGAAGTATAATCGTGGTTAAAGACAGAGAGCTCTTCAAAGACTGCTGTCAAATGCTGATTAACCTCCACAATTTGGGGGGTGACTATAATAATTCACAAAAAGCTGAATCAATCATTTGCCACTGTACTGCCCAGTAATAAGAAATTTTAAGGCAACTGATAGAGTGGCTAGCCTGTCAGGGCACACGTGTATCTTGTTCCCCTATTCTGTTAAACAACTTGGATGAGGCAACTGTAAGTCCAAAGGCAACAGCGGAGATCTCAAACACAAACTGACGTCTTCAGGATACAAGGTATTGAAAAGTAAATTTAAAGTCACCTTCATGAAAGTGGCATTCATAACTGGATTGGATGGAAGAAGCCTCACCTGAGGGCAAACCACAAAAAGAAGTACATCGAACTTGCTAAACATCATTTGATTGACTATTCAAACACTGTCTTACGGCCAGTTCAGCTTTTACGATGTTCTTCACAGTATTATGTTTGGTGTAAAAACCATGCTGAGAAAACAACTGTGGAATATTGTGAGTTTTATGTTTTGCCTTTATGAGTCCCGTAGCCCTTGTCCAGATCGGGAAAATCCTGAACTCCAACAGTCACCTGGTAAATTATCTTGAAAATTAATTTTCAGAAAAAAACATTGGATTTTAAAGTACTTTTTTAGGTGGTGTTTTAGCCTTAATGTGTTGAACTTTCTTGTTTCTTTTGCTCACATGATATATTACTTCTATTGCAATTAGAACAATTAAGATCTTAGAAATGATAATCGATTTTGAGTACTATAGGTGCACAGAATTAACATTACTGATTGACTTGGGCCCTCACATTTCCAAAACCATCAGTAAAAACATCAACATTTTACGAAAACCTTTTTTTAATTTTTATATTTCTGCAGCTCTATTTCTATGTTGGGAAATGAGCAGTTTATTTTTTACTCTGCTAAAGTGATATCTTAAAAATAATCGACACCAAAAAATGCTCCCAATTCATATTTGGGTGCTGAATTCTTTTTGTTGCGAATCTTATCATCTTAAGCCTAATGTGTTTCTTTTGTGTTAAATAAAAGGAGGTCTTCTTTAAATTTATTACAGGCGGCACCCAAGAGATCACCATTGACCAGGAACCAGAAGGGGACGAAGAGGAAAACCAGGAGCTGGACTTAGAGGAAGTGGTTCAGGAGACATCAAATGACTGGCAGTGTGGCATCACAAATGTATTCCGATAGCTTCCTAGCCTTCACCGAAGCGGCAGTCACTTCTTATTTCTTGCGTGATTTTCCATTCTTCGCTCTTCTTCAGTTGATGTCTCTCACGATGGGTCACCGTTTCACCGAGAATACTTTCTGAAAAGGGCTTTTCTGAGCACCCAGTTTCAGGAAACTCACAAAGGCCGTTGGTGTTGCACCAAGCCTGCTGGTATTTTTTTTAAGCAACTGCTGATATAATTCTCTCATTCAGCGGTCTTTTTCAGAAGATATTAAATGCCTTAGTGAGGTTTCAATTCAAATGTCAGTAGAAACAGCTGGGAGAAAATCCGGCAAACCAGTGTGCATCATAATGAGTTCGAAAGATGTGACGTGTAAAAGAACAAAATACTGCCAGTGATTTTCGCTGCTTCTTCCAGACCTTGGCTTGAAAGAGCAGGGAGTGTCATCTCTCTGAGAGCACCAGTGGAATACCGCCTCTGCACATCTGTGGAACTACCAACTCTGAGCATACTGTTGATATGATCACTTCCCTGATTGTGGCCTTTTTCCTCATTTGAGATCATAAAACCATCTTGTGAAGAAAAAAAAATATTTTCAGTCTTCTGTGCATCTTCTGGACAAAAGCAAACGAAAGGAAATTTCATAGACGCAGTTGTATTACTTAATGCAACTGGAAATTCCAAGTTAGGTGGGAATATAATGAAAAGTTTTAAAAAGTAATAGTTTCCATCACATTCACATTTTTACATAAAAAAGAATCGGATGAAAAAATGCTGAATAAATGAAGAGAAAATGTATGAATGAAATTGTTTTTTCAGTACTGTAATTCCACTACAACTGGATTTACCTCTGTGTTTTTCATGATCTTACTGATATCTGTGCTCTGTGGGCATCAGGGAGATCTGTCCATTGTTAGTGTGTAACTTAGCCTGTATGGGGTTTTTTGAAAATATAATTGTTCATCACACATTACTATTCAGAATAGCTTCAGGTAGCAAAAAATGTGACTCTTCAGACATTCAGTAACCCAGGTATTCCAATACAAGAAATGGAAAGCTAGATCTTTTTTTTGCAGCAAGCTCTTGAATCACTTGGAGTTTTGTCTCAGTGTTTTGGTTTATCTTTAAGCAAAAATGTAAGCTCAAGTTAGCATTTTTTGCAGAATGTAACACACAGCATGAATCCCAAAAGAATGCCTTTTTTCTGCCTTTTTCCAAGCTTATGTATTGTCTGATCTAGAGACAAGGACTTGAACATCACTGTAGTGATGTTTTGTTTCATTGTTTTAGTCATCTCCCATTTTCTTAAATAATGCTGGATGTTAATTTGTTTTTTGGAAGAACATGCATGTGCAGCTTCATCAGCTTTACTTTAAAGAGTATAGTTTATTTAACCTTTTGAATGTCTTATGGAAGATGTTTTATTTGTATATAGTGTATAGTTGAGACAAATATTTCAAGTAATTCCATTGCAAAATGAAGCTGTGGATGAGAAGTATTTTATTTCTTTTTTCATTTTATTATTTCTTATTAGGTCAGTGTACAGAATATGACTTTGTATAGTTTGTGATGAAGTTATTTTGTAATGTAAAAGTATTTAAGTGAAAATAAAAGCAGTAATTTTTGCAAAAGCTTATTGTTATTTAACTCTTTTTTTCCCATTTCAGTGTTGTAGGTACTGTACATAAGGAGAAGATGCCTAAAGGTGAGCAAAGAGACTTTATTTTGGTTTTTAATACCTTTTGTCTCGTAAACCTCTTTGGACTTGTGGACACTGTCTGATTAAAATATACACCTTTAATTAAAATGATCCAGCACATTGGTGACTATATGTTCAGTATATGCATATAATTTTGACTGTGGCTGCTATATAAATGTAATTTTGGATACAGTTAAGATTCTGCTGTCCTAGTCTTTTAAGGTTCACCAGTAGGATCTGTGGGCTTCTTTAAATCATCAACTGGGTGAAAGCCAGTTAAGACATAATCACCAGTATGACTTTCAACCATATGTCTTAAGCTGTTGTTGTAAGGAGATCCAGACTGCCTGATATACTGCCAGGGCCTAGGATACTGAATTACACATTTGGAACCCCCAAATCTACATATACTGTAATACAACAGCTCTACATAGATTGTTGAGAACTGGACTTTGTGGTGTATTCTGTATCTCAGCTGGGTTAGTTAGACCTCAGAATTCCAATCCTTGTCCGGGCTGTCCACACACCTGCTGGTTTTCATTCCATCCTCATTAGAATTCAACAGTTAATGCTCCAACATGTTTAAGAGCTGGGCACACACCAATCAAATAAATTATATTATTAAATAAATGAATAACGTAATGTTAAGTTAATGATTGAGTAACTGAGGACTCTGCTGGAATCAACAGGTGTATGGGTCACCAGGGCCAGTATTTGGGACCACTGGCTGTTTGAGAATCCCCTAGAAAATGACCCCCCCACTGAATGAAATAATCACTCATTCCACAAAGTACTGTCTGGACTGTGTACATGTTACAGCAAGCTGCAACACCTCAGAATGTACTAAGAAACACTTGTTAGGCTTTTGTAATATGTGCTGTGCTTTTACACTAGTTAAAGGTTTCCAGCACAAAGGCTTTTCACAGGTAGGTCTGTAGTATGATTCAATGCACATACTGTAGTTAGTAATGTGTAGTCTGGTATGGCAGCACCATATTAAATGATAATGACTGAGGTGCCATGTAAAGACTGGCAATTACTCAGTATTAGCCCTAAAATCCGAAGATGGAAAATGAGATAAAATGTACAAATTCAAAATTCTGATTTTCTTTTGTGATGAAATTCCACACATTTCTACATTAGCAAGTATTGGCAAGTATTTCCAGTATATTTTACTTTTCTACTTACCTTTCACATTTCACTGTTCAAATAATTAACTATTGATTCAATAATAAAACAAGATTTTAATTTTAATTATCCACATAGATATATGAATTAAATTTAAGAATAGAAATCTGTTTAATATGGACTTCAGAACAGTGAAATGGGCTTTTTGGGTGATTAAGGTGCAGTTGCCCTAACTGGGCACTAGAGGGGGAAAAGGGTCATGTTTTCAATGGCAATGCTGGGGAAGCAGAAGAGCACCTGCATTCTCCAGAGGAGTTCAGCCAGCATGCAGTTCAGTAGGGTTATGGGAAGAGAAGGGCCTCCTTCTATAAGAAGTAGTTCTTACACTGCTTTGCTTTGTTTTAGTCCTCAATGCACAACAGCGGTGGGTTTTGTGTGTACATGTTATTTTTCAGAGTTAGAATATCAAACTTTAAGATTAGTAAAGGTCTGCCAATGTTTGGGGGCTGATCAAAGCTTCGGAGCAGTCTTTCACGTTTGCCACGTTGTGCTTATATCCTCTGCTCTTTGGAACTTGGTGAAACTTTGCATTAGCAATTTGGTCTAGTCAACGGGGTCTTGTATGGAAGAAGAAAAGAGAGGAATGAAACCGAGCCAAAACCCACCACTGTTGTTGAGCACATCTTTCAATTTACTGTATCTGCACAACAGGCAGCTAGTGAGTGAGCCTCTCTCCCTGTCTTGGTTTTATGTGAATTTGGCTATTCATAATGGTTCTCTGCACCAAACCCTTGCAAATGTCAAAACTGTGCTATTGTGACAGCCACAAATATTATAATACATGAAGATGTGAGTTTTGAATCTGAGGTTGAGAAATGTGGAAACGTTCAAAGGACAAGCCAAACAAACACTTCATTGTCTCTACTGCAAGAATGTTAGCAAGCATAGAATTCACCTTTACACGAACATGTGTTTTTTTTTAACCAATAGTTGATTGTACCATCAGGCTGGACTGCTGTAGTGCATCCAGTGTGATTTTTCTTTTGTCCTCTCTTCTCTCTGCCATTCATTCCACCTTTACCTCCAAAGAAGGCTCGTCTCTACATCTGCTTTTATTGTGATGCAAATGCAGATAAAAGAGAGGGTAGTTTGATTTTTGTCCTTAAAAGTACTGAAGCCAGGGAAGAAACAGTTTGTTAGAGTTAACAGTGCAGGCTTCATCTTCTAAAGAAGATGTCAGCCATCTCTGCCTAATTTAAATCCTTCATTTGAAGTGGCACTGATCATGGGTGGATGCATGTACTGTACAGTGTTCTAGATCCATTATTTGATAACCATAAAAATAAGATTGGTTTTTTAGTCTTTTTGCAAGTAAAGTCTAGTGTTCAACTGGAACACTAGCTTAGCAGATATAGAGATGACTGTGGGCTACTGTGGTGGACCGGTGGAAGGCCAGTCAAACATAACATGGAGCTTTTTACAATAGGAAACCTTGAAATCTAAGTTATCCATCCATTTTCTATCTGCTTCTTCAAACTCAGAGTTGCGGGAGATGCAGAACCTATCCCAGCAAGCAACAGGCTCAAGACAGCGTACTGTTGGAAGGGACAAAATCGAAATAATTAAAATCAAACTACTGTAACCAACACCCGTTATTGTAATAGCAGCTTCTGAGCAGCATGTTTACCATGCTGTTCTGCCATTCCCTAAATTCCTGATTCCATACTTATCTATGTTCCTCACATCCTATAAATAAGCCAGTCGAGTAAATTTGTGATTGATTGATCTTGATCGTCCTTCTGCTAGCAAATAAGAATAATTTCAGATGATTTTAATTCAATTTTTAACATGTTCATGTTATTTTTTTAAGTGTTGGTTACAGTGACAACCTCTTGAGCCCTTTAGAAACACATTAAAATATATGCCCAATCTCAACAGCTTGTGTAAAGAAAGCCAGAAGAAACTTCTAATGCACATTTTATTTCACGTTAAAAGGCAAGTAATTTATTGACATTTACAATGGTTCAAAATTCAAACTTACATTCATCCACAGAAACTACAACACAATTGGGGGGGAAACAGGAGGGTAGGGATCACAAGTATGTTATGTATTACAAAAAGCATATTCTGAAAAAGCCAGGAAAACTCCTGGATCCAAGGGGCATCAGCAGTTTTTGCAGCAGAGTTCATGCAATTCATCAACCAGGCTTTTTTTCATTTTCCTCAGGACTTTCAACGACTTCCAGTTACACTTCTCTATAATTCAGGCTTACCTTCTTCATGTGGGTTTGGAGACAATGAGAATAACAATAAAGAAATGTCTAGGCAGTTAATCACAGGACAGCACTACTGCTTCTACACAAACAAATTTACAACATCATCACGGCACTCTATTTTTGGTCAATACAAAATGGCTTTTGCGTCAGCTTGCTGTTTTTGATTAACTTTTATTTTGTGCAGCGCTCACATAAATAAAAAGCATATAGAATAATAGGAGAGGAGGACAGCCCAAGGCATATGAAACGATGTTCATTTCAGTAGCAGAAACAGTGCAATTCAGAAGAGCATTCAGTGAGTTTTAAAACGTGTCTGGATAAATACCAGCACCAGACCGATTTAATACAGTTAACATTTAAGTATCTAAATTTTATTAATCACAGTTTTTGTAAAAAAAAAAAAAAGGTACATGTTAGTGTATTAGAACGTGATAGATATTACATGATGTTGCCAGTTACAAGTGGTAGGTTACAACCTTCACAGTAGCATCACAGTTTTCCCCCTCAACATTTATTGCCACACTCTGCTCTAAAATTAAGAGATCAGCACCTCCAGAAAGGCCTCTATGCAATGCAAAGTGGTCTGCTCTTTGCCTTTGAAAAACAATTAAAAAAATAATAGAAGTTGCTGAAGTATAGTACTACTATTATTGTTTTTTGTGATGAATGTGAAGCTACGCAGCCATTAAAAACACTTTATAAAACTAAACAGATTCCTAGAAACAGTCCCAGTAAATGATGTTAACTGGCTGTCTCCATGACTTAAAGTGGCAGACCGCTTGGATATAAAATTTCGCATTGGAGCAGCTGAACAAAATGCTGTGACAATAGCATGAGAAACATCCCTCAGCGCCACCGGGAAAAAAAAAATTGCCTGTCAGTGTGATCCAGCCAGTGTTAGTGCTGCAGACAAATGGAGGGCTTGGAGTTGCACAAAGAATCCTGGCAGGCAGAGCTTGTGCAGAGGCCCCTCGACCACTTCGCCAGTTCTCACAGATGATGACTGCATTGAAATCTCAGCAGGTAATAAGAGATTGTGTTGCTATCTAGAAAAAATGCAGCGAGTTTGTATTAATATGCTTTAAGCCTGGCAGGGAGTTAATTTATCAAGCAGAGGATTTAATTTTTTTTCCCCCATTAACCTCTTTCAGAAACTCAAAGGGGCTAATTCAACGTTTGGAGGGAGATCCAGATCGGCTATCCTTTCCACCCTGCAAACGAGAAAAAAAACACAGTTAGGTAAATTGTGCGTAAATAAGCCCTCAGTGATCACCTGAGAAACTCATCAAGTGTCTTTTTATATTTACAGTATGACCATTAAGTGCACAGATTTACTTAATATACTCCTCCCATTTTTCATTATGTACTATATCAGGTCCTTCACATTTGAAATACACATCCATGAACTAGTTTTCAAGAAGGGTCTAATGGCCTCTTCTTGTTTGTAACCTTTCTTAATTTCAGTTCAGAGACTTGTTGTGACTTTTTGTTCTCTCCTCTTTGAAAATAGCAATGCAGTAATTAGTAGGCTGATTCACATGTTGTGAGAGTGTACAGCCTGTTCCCATGTTCCTTTGCCATGCCTTTTAAGCTTTAAATAAATGTTTTGATTAGGAAGGCTACAACTGCTTTGCTTAGCAAACAGAAGCTAAAACAACAGGCTCTGCCCTCCAGGGTAAAAAAAGAATTTTCCAGTTTAAACAGACTTGTAAATGTATACAGTATATCAAGAGATTACATTTTGTTTTCCCACTTTTCCTTTTGCCTGGTGCAGGTCTTGTTTATCTACAAAAAAAATCATTACTTATTTTTGATAGTGATTAGATTAAGACTGGTAATGCTAAAATATTCTAGTTTGTGCATACGGAAGGGATGTGTTTCTGCTTGTGCTGACTGAAGGAAAACGGGAATTAAGCAGAAGTCTGTCCTTTCAAAATGAACATGCTTTCCAGCAACATACTGTATGCGGCCGTGGGTTGGTGCAGCAATTTGCTCTCTGTAAGTCCACAGAGAATTTGTTTTTCTGAATATTGATTAGGAATGGTGTGAGGGAACAACTGACCCTGTCCTCCTCGGAAATCAGTCTTGCCTTTCCTAACTCACTTGGGTCTCCTCATTTGCAAGTCTCTGTGTGCTCAAAGATAAGCTCACCAGGGTGCACATGTGCTGTGTGATAAGGACTCAGCCCCGAACAGCCATCCTTATTGAAACGAAAAGCTTCTTTTAAAATCTTCCATTTCTGGTGTTAAAATATATACATTGCTGTATTGCTGTGTTCTGAAAATTGAATATTGTTTGCAAACAAAGATCTACAGTATATAGACCATATAAAATCTAGAAACCTTTCAAGCACTGTGGATTTTAAATATTTTTGTTTTTTGGGGGGATATTGGAATAGTATTGATTTTCAGAACAGGTACTAATGTTTGTCCAACTTGATTCCACAATGTTTTCAGAGATACTCACTAGTTACCTCAATCATGCTATTACCCAAGCAAGTGAGATTGACAAATACTGTAGCAGTACTCCTGTGTGGAATGGAGCCTAACTTCCATTGATAAAAGGCTGGTGACAGGGGTCTGATGATTATGAGATATCCAATATCTGACACCAGACCTTCACAATATTTCCAAAAACTCTGACCACAGATGACTACCTAGATTTAAACCAGACGGATCCTCCAGCAGAGAGCTTCTCAGTTTAACGGTATGTGTAAACACTCTGCATTTTCTTTTTCATATCTGTATCTGTTAACTGTAGTAATTCAGTACAGCGTAAATAAAATGATATAATGCATCTATGCCTGAAGTGGAATTGAGCTTAATATTTTCAGATTGGCAGGACTAATAAAGTTAGGTAAGTTAATAAGTTGATCTTGTTGATTATTTTCATGGTGCGGACTTGTGCAATATTTGTCCTTTTTTGAAGCATGATTTTAGTATAACCTGGTTGAGGTTGAAGTCCTTGACAAACCTTAGTAACTCACGAGACAGGAGCTCATCCCGGTTTCTGCAGTGTCAAGAAGAAGATTACAGTACAATCTACCAAGAATACTGGCCTCCCCGGATGGGGTGCAGTTTAAATTCTCAGCATCACTGGACACAGTTTTCATCTTCTGTCCCAGAGATGAACAACCTTTGAATGCCGAACTACTGCAGGATAAACAAGTACCTTTCAGTTAGCAACTGATTCAGACATAAAAAATACACCTTTATTTTTAGGTCTTAATCAGTTACAAATAGAAAGCACCTGCCGTCTTATCTGACTGAACAGCTCAATTAAATCTTCATGATCCGCAGTGGAATGAAAACCAGATTGTCTCATGGGTTCCGAGTATTGGAGTTATCCATCCTTGATGCCGAAAGCCTTGCTTTGTCCTGTATTACAAGCTAAAAACATGTGACTAGAGTAGGACTTTCAGCACATCATAACACACCATTTACCTTGCACTAGAAATCAATGACCAATCAGAGTCCCACTAGAGCATGATTTCTCTCAATGGAGAAACGGGCCATTAGTTTCCACCACATGGGCCAGAAAAGTCTGGGGCTGGGAGCTACTTTGGAATTACTAGCACAATGCTTTATGAAAGGATCTAGTGGATATCTTTTCCTTTACGCTGTATGACTAGAACATGCTATTCAGCTCATCAGTGTTCTCCATTTCCCTGAACACTAAGCGACTTCAATCACAGCATCAAGCTTTGCTTCAGGAGAGCGCAGCTTCTTCACCTACATGTAATGGTTGAGCAATCTGTCTCTCTTTCCAATCTGGTAGATCAATCACTTCATCTCAAATTTAAAGTGAGTTAGAATATTTTAAATGCCTAACACTTCTGGATTCATCTCAGTCTAGTTTTTGCAAAAAGCTTCGTGATGTACCACATAACCAAAAGTTATTGTTTTCTGTCACTGACAAACAGGCGTTCAACTTACTAAATTCTTACTAATACAGTTTACATTTTCTGGTAATTGGTACCAGTTTATGTTAAGATTTCAAATCTGGGGACAGCAGTGTTTCCTCACTGCTGTGCACTATATGCTCAAAAAAGTGTCTAGGAAATTTAGTTCTCATCTTGATGCTAAATGCAAATATCACACTAAATGGCAAGAGGCATTTTTCCCTTTTATCTCTCTAGCATTGTATAGTGTGTAATGTGTCATGCAACACAAAGACAGAAAAACAACAAATATTTAAACTTTGTTTGCCTGAAGCTAATTCTCCTAATCAATATCTTCTTTGACTACTACCCAGAATTTCAGTTGCCTCCACTGCTAACCACCATTAAAACCTATTTGTTCCAGCCACTGTCATTACCAGCAGTGCTCTACATAAGCTCAGGGCGCAAGCAATGTGTCCAACACAACTTACAGTATATTGTGTCCGAAGTCACACTGCGTTGTTTCCATTCTGGTGTATTACATTGTTATCCCAAACCTCATTTACTGTGGTTGCCTACACTGTTCCTTCCAGTGTGTAATTTTTTAATAGATATGTCCTGCAATGCAATAAACTACATTCATGAACATTGGACTATATAGTACATCTTTTTCTTCCATTCATCTGTGAATTTCTAGTATGCCATTATGCACAATATAATTAGGTTACTAATTTTAATGGAACTTGAATAAAGTCAGCAGCCAAGGAAATTACTACTATTACTTCTACTGTATTTGTATAATCTGGTACAGGCCACACAACAGAATGTAATCTGTCCAGCCTTTTGACCAGTCTTTGAATCACATAAAGCAGTATTAAATGTAGTAGAATGTGCCACCCCCAGGCTTCTAAATGGTAGTGTGCTGTCCTTCTAGCAAAGACAGCATTCTAATTTGTGATGGAGATGCACACTGTCATGCTTGATGAGGTCTCTGACTGTGACTGAAAGATGTCCATGCATAAGACACTGCCAAATACAATTCTATTGATTAGTACTGACTTGGCTCTCATACTTAAGGTTATGCTTGTGTAGCATTTGACGCTTGAGACCGTTCATTATTTCCCCATCAATCCACAGTTACTAAAAACAAATGCCTGTTGTGCTATACTTAATATTCAGAGACAGCACTCCTTGCCTGGGGAATATAAAGTTTTATCAAGGGCCTTTTTGAACATCTTTGTCATTTTAAGAAACAAATTTGAAAGTTAGCTGACTTTACTAAACTGAAAAAAGGTCAGAACAATAGAGAACAATAGCTCTGTCAGTGACGCATAAGAACTTGATGTTTCCAATTACATTCCTGAAAGTCTCATATGTACTGAAATATTTTGTGGCATTATGCGAGAGTTTTTCATGTGGAGGTGGAGCCCTGAATTAAGGGTGACGCGTTGCCTGAACAGGCAAAAAACAACAACAACAACAACAACAACAACGTGTCACATAAGCAACCCGACGATTTGTTGATCAAGTATCTTGTCAGACCAAACATGTTCGTACAATGGCCACAGCTCAGAATAATGTTCCATTCCTTCACCTGCCTAGCCTGTCTTCTCTCATTGCTCTCCCTGATGATCAGACCAGGTAAAGAAATCATGATGGATCTCATTCTAGTGTGTTCTAGAATAAAATAAAATGCTGTTTTCAGGCTTCGCCATAGATTTTGCTTGACATTTATTGGTTATTGCTATTGATTAACCTTTTCTAACCTTTGGCAAAGCAAAGTGTTTGTTCTTTGCATCTCTATTTTTTTTCTCCATGGGATACCTAACACAGAAACACCTGATTTTCTTCTGTTGCTGCTGTGAACCACAAGCGTGGTTTTTGCAGCTTGCAAAGCAGACTCCACCATGGTTGGATCAGCTAGGAGCACACAGCAGTGGGTAAGCAACATTAAAAAAGTATATAAAAATATCCGGCCACAGACACCCGGCAAATTCACCTGAATCATATCTTTTCTTTTATTCTCTGTAACACTGCTCAGCTTTGTCTAAGTATTGGTAGGGTTCAGAATGTACCAGAACAATAATGATGTTGACTTGTATTAAAGTGGAAAACATATCAACTTACAATATGTTAAAAAAAGGTTTCTTACACATTTTACAAATTTGTGTAACACTCCTTGGCTTCTTCTAAAAATAAAAGTACTGCTGAGTATTTCATCACGGTATCAACCAGTCCTAAGCAAATGTCAAAAAGATCTACCACAACTATCCAAATGCACTTCATACTGTACAGTAAAACAGGATGAGACGGAAGTAGACAGATTCAAACTGCTTTCATGCCTATGTAAACTGTTTGTATTGTATAATCTATTGTCAGGTTGTCATCAAGTTCTACCGCTGTCACTTACAGTACAGTACTTCAAATGAAATTGGTTAAAATAGAATGTATTTGTTCTAGGTCTTTGATGAGAGTGAAATAGGGATCATGAAGAGAGTATTTTATCCCAAACAACCAGCAACAACACAACTTAGTGACATCTAGGCCCTCAACAATTTTACTTGTGTACAGATCAAGCAGCTGCCTTTAGCTCCTACAAAGACACAGGATCATTCAATAGCTCAGCCTGTTCAGCGTTAAGACAGTTTCAGCAACTTTACAAATTCTTGATCTAGGCTCAGTTTGGGCCAGCTGCAGAAGTAAAGATGTGAACTTTTTTTTACCCATTCAGGGTCAGGATGCTATGACCTTTTAGGCTGACTATTTGTTCAGCATGGATCCCATGGTACTGTTCCATAAAGTACAGGTGCTAATGGTGTCCTAGCTAGAAATCCTGATTGGTTGTGCATTGGGGAAGCTGTGCAGTACCTAAAGTGAGGGCTGCAGATCAGAGGTGGAAGAAATGAGTCCTCTCCTTTGTACGATATGCTCTGGAATTCTTTGGGATGAAAAGTGCTACAGAAATACAATAAAATAATTTTGTCCTTGATTGTTTCAATGTTTTTGTTCTGAGTTGGTACAGATAACTCACTAAGATATTCAGCATGTTCAAAGTAGAGTAAATCTGTAGAACTGTACTTTATAACTCAGAAATCTGCTTGTTGTGTCTTCTGTTCAGATTAGAAGCACCTTTTTTACTTTTTATGAGATTTTACCAATTTACAAAATCTCATAAAACTGAGAGTTTATTTCATGACCACTTTTAATTTTTTAAAATATTTTAAACCATCACAAAATATTTTAAGTAAACCTCAACCTTAAGCCAGAAGTTAAAACATCAGTGTTGAGCACCTCTTTTTTCTTGGAATCAAATCAGATGATCAGAGAATGATATGTAAAGGAATGTATTGTAGGAAGGATGGAGAAATAAAGCTATATTCAAAGGCATATTGTGCCAAAACGAAAAAAAACTAAATATTTATCATCATTCATGTTTAATTTTCATGCATATTTTTAAATCTTGTACGAAGATTTGAAATCATCTAGAAACCGAGGGAAGGGACAAGGGAATGTTTTTATCATAAATAAAGATGTAGTCCACGAACAGCAGATCTAAAAATAAGGTACAGTAAATATACTGACAATAAGCATTGCTCCTCGGGTTGAGATTTCTCTGAGCCTTAGAATCATACAGAATCAAATCACTGAAATCACTGGTACACACACCCTGGACTAAGGCAAGACCTCTTTGGGATCAACTGTACTTCTAACTCCACAGCACAATGGCACTCCGAGAGGCAGCAAGAGATGACACTGGCAGAGTTCCATAAATGAAAAATGGAAAAGCACATCTCAGGAGTTCACAGTATGATGGATCTCAAAGGTTTGGAGCCTGACTGAACAAGGATTTAAATTGCAAAACAAATGGGACTATTGTATGTTTTCTACAGACTGTAAATTACTAACAAAAGACAGTCTTTTATTTTCTGTTTAAAGGTAGATTCATAATGGCATGACACAACTTCATAGCCAAAGTCAAATGTTTTAAAAGAAGAGATGATATACAGAGTTAGTTCAGGCTTAGTTTAATTTCATAATTGTTTGTGTTTAATAACTGAAAAGAGCACAGCATTTTATTGACAGATTCAGTTGATTAAATCCCTCAGCACAGGCCTCTGACAGAGACAGTTAAATTATAATTCAATAAATGAAGAAATATTCTGTTCTTCAACCATCTTAAGATCCAAATTAAAATGTGTAAATATTTACAAAAGACAAGGAAAGTAAACAAAGGTTTGATGGACCAAGAACAGTTAAAGGTCTGCTATCATATTAGTTAAATTCTTGATTACCAGGTTTAAAGGAATATTATTAAAATAGTTCTGCTTATGGGGTAGTTGTGGGACTTAATTATTACGATTAAATACAATTTAAACAGTGGTCTCCTGGATACAATATTTGAATATCCAAGATATATAAGAATAAGCCAAGAATGACTTCAAAGGAAACAGTTAAAGTGAGAGAGAATTTTGCTCAAGGTAGTTAGAGCTCATATAGCTTCCTCTCTCCAAAACATCAAAACCCACACTCATGACGTGCAGCTGAAACACGATGACATTTCAGACAAGCACGCAAACCAAGCTACTAACAGAAAACATCGAGATATCTGAGGTGATAAGGCTCCTGAGCGGTAACTGTAACCAAGGTTGTATAAAAAGAAAACAACAAGAACAAAAAAGCAGAGTTTGGGAGAAGAAAGCATTTATGACCTTGTGCACATCCTCCCTCCAGTTAAATTAGACATTATTCATCTGTCTTTGTGGTAAGTTAAAATAGGTCAAGACCGGTGTTAAATCCACAACAGTTACTTTTCACTCTGTTATGTGAATGTCAGCACCTGGATCTGCTGCAAACGGTTTCTGCTTTGTAAAATCTCAGGCCATCTGTCAGGACTAGCTTGACCTACTGATCCAGTGGACTGCAGAGCTCTGAGTGGTGTGGTGAGATCCACACTACAGGTGTTGGGGTCAACATGATGAAATACTACAATCTGTAAGCAGTGTGTAGTAATCCTCAGTCTTGACTGCTTTCAGTTGGGAATAATATATTTCAGTTTATTATAAACTTGTGTCAATATAAAGTTCAATAAAGCAACTTTTAAAGTAGGATGAGAATTAGGTGTCATCAGTGTTGACCTGTGGTCTGTCAAAGAAGATTGGTTTGGACAAGTGCATCTTCTGTGACAGTGTGTGTAATACTTTGAGAAATCTAAAACTAGCACAGTAATTAGAAAATAAATGTGATAATTATTTGTCATCCCATCCTTAAAAACAGGAGTAATTAGATTATTTAGACTGCAAAGATTTTATCAACTATTGATTGAGAGAAAAATATCACTTTTAACATTTGAAATCAGATTATTTCTACCTTATTTAACTGGTTAGCTACAGGACAGTTCAGATGCCAATAATACATCAATGTAACTTGCCAGAAAGTACATTAATGTCCTCTACTCACTGACAATCTCTCTACTCAATGTTGTTGCATCCATTTGCAGACATTTGGAGAAGACTCAAGATGGCAGATGTTGGGTTATCCCTGTTTTGTCACAGCCAATGGGAACTGTTTTGTTGTAACTTTACTATGTTACTAGAAATCCCTTTCACAAAGTATTCTGATTTGAACAAAAGTGACTATGAATTCTTTAAAAATTCTTTAATTCTTTTGTTTGACAGTGTTTTCAGAAGAATTCTAGATGAGCTACAGACAGAGTTAGAATAGAGAAAGTGAGCAAAAATATAGGAGCTTCATATATTTTTTTTAGTGAAAAAGAATATGCTTTACCAGTTTGAAGATTTTGGAAAGAGTTCCTTGGCCTTCTCCTCTCCGGTCCTTGTGCCCTTTGTGAGGAGATCTTGTTGCCTCAAGAAATCTTGGCTGCACTGGCTGCTTCTGCCCATCAGCTCCCTGCAAGGAGAACTCCAGTAATTATCTGTAATTAAGCACCACTACAGGCTGCGTGTCTATAGAAAATGAATTACTGTGGAATAAAGAATAGAAAAAGTAAAATACAATGGGGCTGAACAGTGTATTAACATCACAGTGAGGAATTTTGCCCATCAGCTGTAGAGCACTGTACAAAGGAATAAATGAGTCGCATTACTGATATTGGCTAAAGGGAAATCATCAATCAATTAATGAGATTGAGAGATTCCTTATGAGATTTAAATAAAAATAGAGAAATTTGAATGGGTGGATTTGCTGCACTCTGCGACTTGTATTTGAATCCCTGTTGATAGCAAAAAAGTAAAAAATACTTTAACATGAATCAGTAGTTTTAGAAACTATGGACAGGCAGAAGTTATAAACCTTTGCAGTTATGACAGAATTCTGCAGGATAAAATGGAAAAAAAAATGTTGCATCATACAGTAAAATTTCATTTCTATGCATGGTGCTGTATTGGACACCTGCACAGAAACTACAAAGATACATATTTTATTTTCATTCCTTTGTCAAAAAATATGTACCTGTATTGCATAAAAATGTACAGGCATCATTCTCTTTCTGACATCCTAGTTTTGAAACACAGCTTTTCAAAGAATGGAAACCTCCAGAAATTCAAGCTTGCTCAGAACGTAAGATGTATGTTTTCTTAAGGAATACATGGAGACTGTGTCGCTTCATGACAATCAAGTGTTGAAGCCACTGAATGCAGTATTTGAGAGAGCTTCTGGGGAGAAACTCCAGGTCTCCAGTCTCAAAGTGCTGCTGTCACAGTCAGCATCTAATTTAGTAAAGTTGCATTTTCTTTAAAAAAATAAATAAGTCTCTTTTTGAATGTAAAGATATGTGGTCGAATATCATTCCTTTAGCTCTCCCCAATTTACGGAGCTCCCTTTTTGGCATAGCAAGTAGCAAGGTGTAAATACTTTCTTCTGCTTATGTTAGTAAATTAGAGTATGTCTGAAGTGTGTACAAGACTTCCATCCAACTCCAGGCATTGCAAAAATCACCTCAATTGAAAAATATAAGTAAATGAAAACAAAATCAGTTGGCTTCAGAGTTGCAAAGAACATTTAGTGGCTCAATGGAAATTAGTTTGTCACTTAAATCCAGACAGCAAGCCTATAAATAAACCCCATTGGTCAGGTGCCATCAAATACTGAGCTGGACCTGAACATTGGACCATTTGATATCAAATCAGATTTAAAAACTAACGATGATCAAAACATACAGTACTTACTGTGTTGTATGCATCAATTTCCACCGTAGAGTGGCACTACTGTACATCCTCAACATTACAATCTCAAAGTTACAGAGGATATTGTGGATACAGAATTATTAAACTTCATTTATGAAAGTGTAAAGTGTGTTTCCAAGACAATATGTTTAAATCCTTTTTTGCCAGTATATTTTGAAATCATTTAACAGGAAAATGGAGCTGTAAATGCTTAACTGAAGTCTTTTTGGAATGAATGAAAATAATTAAATCTATCTTAAAAGCTGAAAATGTGGTCAAACGCTTACAATGTGTTTGGAATAATAAAATCATAACATTAAGCGTGATTAAGAGGCCTGTTGTTTTAACACAGACAGCAGGTTGTTTTAATAAAGGCTCATCTGACCAGAGGCTGCTATAGTGTCTAGGGGACTGAGAGTTTGTGATTCCCCCCACTGGATTGGACACTAGTCCAGCAGAGTTACTCATGTGCAAAGAAGGTGCCCATTTATAAAGTTGGGTTAACTAGAGCACCTGGGATCAAGTACCTTGCCCAAGGTACCACAAAAGTATCAACAGAAGGGACCCAAACCCACAGTCTCACAGTTCTGAGTCCCGAGTCCTAACTGCTACTTTACACTCAAATTAAATATGTTTAAAAAAAACGAAGAACCTAACTCCTACTTCTGTCATTGTAAGGTGACCGGTTTTTCAAATGGACATAATGACTAACAGGCTAATGGTTAAATGTGGTTAAAACTAATAGCAAAACAAACAAATTGTTATTACACTGTTAAGTATATTAATGCGCTATGGTAATTTAAGTCTCTTTTTTTCATATTGATTTTAAAAAAACTGTAAAAAAAAACTTTAATAATCGAAATCAGAAGCTAGTAAAAATACTTTATACTTTATACCGTAGACATGAGTTATCAATTAAAAGTATAGAATATCAATATCAATACTTCTATCTGTTTCCATGTGTGTATTTATAATACCATGTTACTTTTTGCAACGTTTTGAGAGACTTGAATAAGCTGTGTCTTTTTTAATGTACTGGGTAAGCACGGGTGAATATGATGCACGGAATTTAATTAAATGTTTTTTAATATGTTTGGGTCTCTTCCCAAACGTGTTAGCCAAAGACCAATCAACATTCTTTGATAAAGCAAAAACTAACATTTCTGGAATTGTTAATAGGAAACTGTGAAGTTTAAACGTAAAATAGAATGGGACCAAAAAATGAAACAGCAAAGCATTTATCTGTGAATAAGCTTCCAAAACAGGGAGTTATACCCTATTCTGGTACACTGACTACTGTCAAACAGGATCAGTGCACTTGTTTAATATGGATGAATTTCTTAAAAGTGAAAGTCAAAGCACTGAATCTGATTTATTGATGCAGTGTTTAAAAATTCAATTAGCTTTCTGAGTTATCCAAAAAATGAACTCCATCAGTGTTCAGACTCTGCTTGGACAAAATATTAAGAGCTCCCCTAGTGACAGGTGAGGACTGTTTGTCACTTAGAGCATCAAACCAATTTCCATCACCTTCCTGGCCAGATCAATACCCATATTTCAATTCTAATGAAGCCCTACAGAACTAGTGGAATGTGCAATCCAATTCCACACACCATTACCCACATCCTACCCTCAGATGAAGGTGATCCAACAAGAACAAAACAGGATGGGATTATTTCAGTAACCAGGTGCAACACCCCTGTTTGCATCCTATTTACTGTTCTGACTGCTTACAGAGACCTGATGGGTTATTCAGTGGGTATTTCTAATGTTTTGGCCAGAGAAGAGAAGTGTCTTTGGACTGAGGGATATGAATAGAATGGTACTGTAGTTGGGTTTCTGCAATGGCCTGCAACATCAATGACAGCCAGCAGGCAAATTCTGGATTTTTTTTACCAAGGCAGGTCTACTGTTGCTCTACTGCCTACCATTAGCAAGACAACCACACACTTACAAATTTAAGTAAAAATCAAGTAAAATTCACTTGCAAGTATGTCTGCTTAAACATATTTTTTTTCCATTGGTTA